GTTTTTGAAACTTATGGCTTCGTCTGGTTACAGAGGAAGGGTTTCTTATGGACATAGAGAAATCGGTGGTTTAGTAGGGAATGAGAGGAGTATTTGGAGATGGAAGGTTATTAACAAGAGATTTGAGAGGAGCGAAGGGGCGTCTTGGTTACTGGAAAGGTCAAGTACAGATGGAGGTGATGGTTCTGAATGACTGCTTGGCGGTACAAGTAGTAATTACACGTCCACAGTAAAAGTCACTAGTACACGGATAATTTAGGAAACAAAATATACTGAACGCGTGTAAAATAATTTAACCACTTAGAAAAATATTTGGTTTACAAATTTGGCACAATTCCAATCTTTTTTCAAAGGGTGCAAAATCTTTCTTCCAAAAGAGGTTTAGTAAAAATATCAGCAAGTTGAGAATCAGTACTAATAAACTCTAATGTAATATCATCTTTTGCAACATGATCCCGAATAAAATGATATTTAATTTCTATATGCTTTGCTTTAAAATGATGCACAAAAATTTTAGATAAGCAAATAGCACTGGTGTTGTCGCAAAAAATAAGAGTGGCAGTAAGAGATAAATCATAATCAAGGAGTTGATGCATAATCCATAAAACTTGTGTACAACAGCTTCCAACAGCTAGGTATTCTGCCTAAGTCGTTGATAGAGCAACACAATTTTGTGTCTTGCTATGACAAGATAATAAGGCATTTCCCAGCAATTGACATGTCTTACTGGTACTTTTCCTATCAGTCTTGTCTCCTGCAAAATCAGCATATGAAAAGCATCTCTAGGAGAAATTGTTAGTATTACCATACCATAGTCCTAATTCAGTAGTACCAATTAAATATCTAATTATGCGTTTAACCGCAGTCAAATGGGATTCCTTAGGAGCTGACTGAAATCTGGCACATTTACATACACTAAACATAATATATGGATGACCAGCAGTTAAATAAAGTAGAGATCCAATCATTCCTCTATACATGGTTTCATCAACCATTTTTCCATTGATGTCTTCATCTAGCACGGTAGTTGGACTCATTGGAGTGCCGATAGCCTTAGCATTTTCCATCCCAAACTTTTTGATAAGCTCCTTGGTATACTTGGTTTGGCTGATGAAAATTCCTTTAGGAGACTGCTTGATTTGAAGTCCAAGGAGAAGGTTAGTTCTCCCATCATGCTCATTTCAAATTCACCTTTCATGGAAAGAGCAAATTTTTCACAAAGAACAGTGTTAGGGCTACCAAAGATAATGTCATCAACGTAAATTTGAGTAATGAAATTACCGAAATTTGATTGCTTAATGAAAAGAGTTGTATCTATATTACCTCGTTTGAAACCTTGATTTAGAAGAAAAGAACTTAATCTTTCGTACCATGCTCGTGGAGCTTGTTTGAGACCGTACAGGGCTTTAGTCAGCTTTTATACATGGTTTGGAAAAGTGGCATTTGCAAATCCAGGAGGTTGCTTCACGTATACTTCTTCAGATATATAACAATTTAGGAACGCACTTTTGACATCCATCTGAAATAGTTTGAATACTTTGTGAGCGGTAAAGGCAAGTAGAATTCGGATGGATACAAGTCTTGCCACAGGTGCAAAGGTCTCATCATAGTCGATTCCTTCCTGTTGAGAGTAACCTTGAGCTACGAGTCTTGCTTTATTCCAAACGACTTAGCCTGATTCATCCAATTTATTTCTTAAAACCCACTTAGTTCTAACAACAGAGGAGTTTTGAGGTTTCGGAACTAATTGCCAGACTTTGTTTTTCTCAAACTAATCTAATTCTTCTTTCATAGCATTGATCCAATGAGAATCCTTTAGAGCTTCATCAACCTTCTTGGGCTCAAATTGGGAAATGAGAGCTACATGAGATTTGTTCTTTTGAGATCTTCTTGTAGTTATTCCTTCCTGTGGATCTCCTGATAACTAGGGATTCTAGTATATTTTATACTCCTTTTTGCTTGAGTTTTGGATTAAAAGTGTATATAAGTAATCTCGAAGGCTTACATGTTGTGCTTGCTTGCAGGGTTTGGTCAAAAAGTGACAAAGAAGTCACAACTAGCCCAATAAGGAGTGAAACTTGTACAAGTGCCAAGAACAAGTCAAAGCACCGCTGACCGCAGTAAATCCACTGCGGCTGCAATAGACCCACCGCGGCCGCGGTCCATTTAGTGCGGTCCGCGGTGGAGAAGATCAGAGAAGATGCAATCCTGGAGTTTCAGGTAATGCGGCCCACGGTAGATTCTTCGGGGCTGCGGTAGCCTCATCGCGGCCGCAGTCCATTTATTGCGGTCCGCAGAGAAGGGATTCAGAGAGCTAGGATTTTGGAAGTTCCAAGACACCGCTGACCGCGGTGCATTTTGTGCAGTAGCGGTAAAGCCATCGCGGCCGGTCCATTTATTGCGGTCCGCAGTGGCTAGATTCAGAGAACAAAGATTTGAAGCTAAAAAGCCTGACCGTGGCTGCAGTCCATTTTCCGCGGTCCGCAGTACCTCCGTCAGGGGTATTTTTGTCCAGAAAATTTGGTCTTGTATAAATACTTTTTTTTCGGATTTTTAGGGTATCTTATCTATAGCTGAGCACGTGAAGGCTGTTTTTAACCTAGTTTGAGTAATTTTGTAGCTAGTTCAACATTGAATCTTCAAATCTTAGCTTGTAATAATATTTTATGGGTTATTATTCATCCCAATATCTGATTTCTTCCATTATTATGAGTAGCTAGACCCATTAGCTAGGGTTGTGGCTCAGGCCTAGTGTGGGAATTTGATGGGTCTCTTGTTTTAGGGCTTAGATGTTTATGGGTGGTTGATATTTGGCCTGATTTGTGTTTTCCATGTTGAATTAGTGGTTGCAAACACTAATTTGTGCCTTTTTGACTTGGGCTCTTCTTGAGAAAGAGAGCTTGAGTCTAGGAAAATTAGGCCAACAAGGAATTGGGGCGTATTCAAGAGATTGATAGCCCCAATTAAAGAGTTAAACCTAGAGATAGTAATACCCGACTTGAGCCTATATTGCTTGCACAATTTTGACACCCAATTGGTCTTGAGAAAGCCAATTATGGCAAAGTCACTCAAGCTACGAAGAGGTATAGAGTGAGTAGTTTTATGCATCGGCTATATCGCAATCCCAAACATAACAACTTTGCCTTAGACTTTAGAACCCGTCAAGTATTCACCTAGGGCAATGTCACTTCCCTAGTGCCTTTCCATAAATTAAGAAAACCTCACAAAAAGATATCATACTTAGCTTAATTTTAGCATAATTAGTGATAATCTAGATTAGTGAACCATCAACGCATGTTTAAAAGTGTAAACAATTACTTTGCACATTACTAGTATAGATAGGAACTCAATTTCCAAGCAATCTAGCTCCCTGTGGATTCGATCCCGACCTTCTCGGGTAAAAGCTGCATCGAGCGCTCTTGCCACTTTGTAGTGGTGTAGGGTTGGACCCAATCATCTCCTATAATGAATTTGTAAGGATATCCTAGTTCGTTCTTCCATTCATTTGGAGTATTTGCTGTAGAGATCTTTTCTATAATAATCGACTGATCTGGTTGAGATAAGTCAAGATCTTCTGGAGGAGCTTCAGCTGGTTGAGTTTGTAGATTAGCTGACTCACTTTTATGATCCTTACCTACAATAATAGACCTTGGAGCGCAATACATTTCCTCATCTTCAAGAACATGTTCATTCCTTGGGAGAGGGTTAGGATCAATAAAAACAACATCAATAGATTCTTCAATACATATGGTTCTCTTATTATAAACTATGTAAGCTCTACTTGAGGGAGAGTAACCAAGAAATATACCTTCATCACTCTTAGGATCAAACTTACCCAGATTATCCTTTCCATTTTTATGAACAAAGCATTTGCATCCGAAAAAGTGGAAATAGCTGATGTTTGGTTTCTTACCATTCCACAGTTCATAGGGAGTCATTTTGAGTACAGGTCGAATGAGACACCTGTTAATGATATGACATGTTGTACTTACAGCTTTTGCCCAGAAATGATGAGGTAAAGAGTTTTCCACAATCATGGTTCTTGCCATATCCTGCAAGGTTCTGTTTTTACGCTCTACTATATCATTCTGTTGAGGAGATCTTGGTGAAGAGAAATTATAGGAGATTCCTTGATCATTGCAGAAATTTTCAAAAGCTCTGCTTTCAAACTCTCCTCCATGATCACTTCTGATGGTAGAGATATAGTAACCCTTCTCACGTTGAACCTTCTTATAGAAAACTTCAAAATTTTTTAAGGCATCATCTTTATGACTAAGATATATATAACCCATGTAAATCTAGAGAAATCATCTACAATAACAAAAGCATATTTCTAACCTCTTATACTAGCAGTTCTAGTGGGGCCAAATAAATCTATATACAGTTGAAGAGGTTTAGAGGTAGAAACAATGTTTTTGACTTTAAAAGAGGATCGAGTTTGTTTTCCTAATTGACATGCATCACAGATATGATCTTTTGAAAAATTTAGTTTTAGAAGACCAACAACAAGTTCATGTTTTGAAAGTTTTCGAATGGGGTGCATGCTTGCATGACCAAGTTTTCTATGCCAAACCCAGGGATCTTCAATTATAGAAGTAAGACAAATTTGATCCCCAAAGTTTTCCAAGTTTTTGATAGTATAGACATTTCCGTCCCTATTACTAGAGAGAATGATGTTACCTGATTCGTCTTTTATGAACCAGCCATGTTTCTTAAAACGAACCTCATAATCATTGTCACATAGTTGACTGATGTTGAGAAGATTGTAGCCGAGTTCATCGACTAAGTAAACTCCATCCACGTCACATGTAGAGCTTAAAGGAACCTTTCCGACACCAATAACATTTCCTTTGGATTTGTCACCAAAGGTAGTTGTTCCTCCATCTAGCTTGGTGACTGATTTGAACAATTGTTTGTCACCCGTCATATGTCAGGAACACGCGCTGTCGAGATACCATTTTCCTTTTCGATTCTTCTTGTGGTGTTCCTATAAAACAAGATTACTTATTTTTAGGTACCCAAGCCTGCTTGGGTCCTGAATGGTTAGGTATCTGAGAGTTAGTTTGAATTGAAGATTTTGGTCTCCAGATCCATCTCCTATCGTTCTTGAACCTGCAATGATTTGAGGTGTGACCTCTTTTACCACAGTAGGTGCAAGATGAGTTGTTAGAGTTGCCAGAACTATTTTCAGCTCTAATTCTGTTCCTGCAATTGTTAGTGCTATGTCCATTTTTACCACAAAAGGAACATGCTATTTTCTTTCTGACAGGAACGTTCTGATCAGACTTGACTGGACTAGAACTTGAGGTTCTTTTCAGTCCATTCAATTGAAGCTTGAGTTTGTTTACTTCGTCTTGAAGCATATCATGTTCAATTTTGCATACTTCTAGTTTTAGGGCCCAGTCCTTCTTCTCTCTTTCTTTTTCTCTCTTGACTTTTTTGAGCTCATTTACTACTCTTTCTATGTCTGCAAGAGAAATATCAACAAAAATTTGAAGTTCATAACAGTTTGGACATAAAGGAGTACATACCTCACTAGTTCCTTCATCTGACGGTGAACGAGGTTCTCTTGAATCATCTTCTTCATCGTTGTTGTCTGCCATTAGTCCAAGTTCCTCTGACTCTTCATCATCGCTTAGGGCCATAAAGAAAATGTTGGCAATTTTCTCGTGATCAGATTCCTCCTCATCACTCCATGCTCCAAAAGCTTTCTTCTTTTGCATGTTCCGACTAAGCTTCTTTTTTAATTCCGGACAGTCAGCTTGAACGTGTCCGAACTTTCCACATTCGTAACATCTTCCATTATTTTGATCTGTTTCATTGCTCACCCTTCCTTTTCTCAAATTAGACTTACCTCTTCTGTAGTTTCTGTTTCTTCTCATCATGTTGGTCACAACTTGCGAGAGCATTGCAATGTTTTCGTCTTGTTCTCCTCCTTCTTCTTCATCTTCATTTTCTGGTTCAGCCATAGTTGCCTTGAAAGCAACAATTTTCTTCTTCTCTTGAATATGTCTGTCAAGATGAGTTTTCTCAAATTCAACCAAGTCACCTCTGAGTTTATTATAGGAGATTTTGTCCAGATCTTGACATTCCAAAGTGATGACCTTTGGTTGCCAGATTGTAGGTAGGCTTCTGAGGATCTTTCTAACCTGTTCGCCACTTTTAATAGGTCTTCCAAATGATTTGAGGTCTCCAAGAATTTTGCTGAACCTGGAAAACATTTCTTCAACAGATCATCCTTCATTTGAAATAATTCATATTCCCGAACCAGGAGATTTATTCTAGTCTCTATTACATTGTTGATTCCTTCATAAGTGACTTCCAGTTTATCCCACATTTTTTGCAGTCTCACAACTGGATATCTTTTCATATTCTTCTCCACTGATAGCATTGTACAGTAGATTTTTTGCTTTTGCATTGAAAGTGATAACAATAGCTTGCTCATCAGTGTAGTCGTCCAAATCAGAGGATCAGTTGATGTGATGACTTGACCATTTGCATCCTTCTTGGGAGGAATTGGAAGGTTTCCCTTTTTTATCACATGCCATACTTTGATGTCATATGACATAGTATACGTTTCCATGCAAACTTCCAATGAGAGAAATGCTGACCATTGAAGTAAGGGGGTCGAACCTGAGAGGTTCCTTCTTGAAAGAGAGCACCGACAATAGTGGTGGATCCCATTGATCTTTTTCTCACTAGCGGTAAAGCAAAGATTGTAACCCTTGCTCTGATACCAATTGAAAGTACAAGAGGGGATGAATTGTTGACTAATTAAAATTTGGCCGACTAATGCAAGTATTAGTTGACTAATCACAGAACGTAAAGAACGAAAGCAATAAAGAGAAATGGTAAAGCACACAGCGAATTATACTGGATCGGTACCGTTGTGGTACTTACATCCAATTTCCCTTGGGTCACAAGGGTTCCCTTAAGATCTTTGAACAAGGTTACAATATTGATGGTTTTATCGCGTTCACCACAAATGTACAATATCAACATTTGAGTTCTAATCGGTTGACACAACTTCTTTTGTGCTCTAGATCTCTCTATCTTTTGAGACACTGACAACTAAGAATTATAGTGTTTGAACTAAGAAGTAGACAGATTTGGAATATAGTTTGTGTAGTTGCGTAGTCTTCTTCTTGAACAATCAATCTTCTTATATGAGAGAAAAGAGCCGTTGAATCTTCAGCAAAATTAGAGGCACAAGATTTTTGATAAAGGGATTTGACTCAAGGGGTGCCTATTCGAATCTTGCTCTTTGAGGAGCTCAGATTCGATTGTGACATTCCATGTCACAGCTTGAATTTAGGAGTTTAATATACCACGAACAAGGGATTACTGAGATTTGGAGAATCCATGATTGCAGTCTAAGATTCCTTGATTGAGGGCAATTCAACCTTGCTTCCCTTAATTGTAGTAGCAGCATCTTCCTTCTTTACTTACTTGCCATTTCTAGTCCAGTATCAATCTTTCTTCCTTTGATTGTAGTGATAGCATTTTCAGGCTTTCCTTATTTTTAAATTCGAATCTTGCATATTGTCATCTTTCCTTTTTGTTTTTCCTGCACATATAGCATAAGGAATTATTGTCATCATTAAACTTAACCTTGAACCTATCAAGATTCATGTCGTACTTGAGGATCCCCACGTCTGGGCTCATCTCGTCTGCGGGCCATTTCTGGTCGTAGGTCATATCCCGGAATATCACTTATTTCAAAACCAGGAAGCACTGAGATCTCTTATTCTATTCGGAGATTCGTGTTGTACCGATGATACACATCGTTCCATGTTTTTGTAGGTAGTTCTCATAGGCTTTCCTTCAGTCTCCTCGAAGCCTCCAAATTGTCTGGATTTAGGTTCCTGGTGAAAGCCATAGCCGCCTAATTGTCCTCGACTTGTGGGAGCAACATCTTTTCCCTCTCAAATCGATCAATAAAGTCATGGAGTGACTCTATCCTCCTTTGCATGATTTTGAAGATATCTTTCACATGTTTCTCCACCTTTTGTGCTCCCGTGTGGGCTTTGATAAAAGCATTTACAAGTTTAACCAAAGAACTAATAGATTGTTTAGGTAACTAGGAATACCATGTCAGGTCCCCTTTTGTCAATGTTTCTTTGAGCTTTTTGACGAGAACCGATCCAATATCCCCCTTCGTGAGGTCGTTCCCTTTGATTCCAGTTGTGTAAGCCATGATGTGGTCTCGCGGAACCAAGGTACCGTTATTTTATAGAATATCATGCATTTTGAATATTTTAGAATTGGCACCGGAGCTGCTCTAGGTTTCCACGACTGCTACGAATATTTATTCATGTCGATCTCTTTCCTAGCTCGTGGGACTCTTGGAATATATTCAATTCTCTCTCTTTGAGTTGCTGCTCCAAGGTTAAGACCATATTTTGTAACTCAAAATTTACACTCATACCTGAGCATCTGGCTTTGTCCTCGTTCAGAGGTTCTCAAGTTCTCATGTGTGCCATCTTGGAGTTAGGAGTCTCATCAGCAGCATTGGTTCTCAGTGGTGGAGTAGGAGTTATAACCGTCGCTCCGCTTGTAGAGCCAACAATGCTTCCCCGAGTTTAGCATTCAACTTTTGTTGTTCCGCCATATAAAGTTTCGCCTTTTGTATTAAACCATGCTCGTTAGGATGGCCGCTAGTAGATCTTGCTGGGGAATCATTCTGGGCACGGGATGATAATGGAGAGGATCCGGTTGAATGATCATTCGAAGTCTGTGTTTCATCGCTCTATTCGATCATGCGAGCATCGACATTGTGCTGATCATTAACTCCAGACATAGTATGTTCCCTTAAGAGAGTTAAAGAGAGTTAATTGCTTTTTTTTTCTTTTTTTCTATCCCCTTACAAAAGGAAAAGAGTTAATTGCTTTTCCCTATTAAGAAAAGATTTTAGGTTTTACGCCATATACAATACTAATATTAATATACCGTCCAAAAAATTTCAAGATGTCGAATTACTTATAATTAAAAACTAATTATAATAACTCTTGGTAATCTAAGAAGGAATTAACCTAAAATTACATGCATGTTACAGCACATTGATAGCATAAGTTTTTTGCGTTGTTGCTTTTTATCTCCAAATTAAAATGAAATTGTGAGAATCTAAATTAGGTGGGCATCAAAGTAATTATCGAAGACGAGTTAAATATTTGTCTCTTAAAAGAGAAGGAAGAAAACTATTTTCTAAGACTGTTGAAAGTGTCCCATATAATCTTGGTGCACCAAGTTTCCAACCTTGTGTAGAAAAAGTTAGATGTTCACAGGAAGGTTAATAACTTAATATTATCAGTAATAACAACTGAAAGAGAGCAGAAAATCATAATATAATCAGCTTCAAGAGGATCAATTAATCTGAACTCATTTTCGTTTTATACCCTAAGATATTACAACAGAAATTAGATGTAGAAGTATAATAAGTAACTTTACTTTTCGATATGAAGGGAAGAGAATTGCAACTCTGGCACCAACCCACACACAATTAGTAAAGTACCCTGAAATTACCTATGAACCTGTTGTATAGCAATTACAATTAAATCGAGCCAATTTGTGGTAGTCACCAATTTGTGAGGTAGTCACCAATTTGTGGTTGAATTATTCCAGTATCATACTTAACCAATTAGGGGGGGAAACGATAAGATCAAGAGAAAAAAAAATCTTAGTCTTTATTTATTCTTCCACAAAAAATGACATATATTTTCTTCTCCTTTTTAATAAAAATCCTAAATTGATGTAAATGGAATCTTTTAAAGAGTTCAAATAGTATTTATTTACTAAATAATTGTAGACATCAGACAGCTGTGGAAGGGGAAAGTCTGCCAACCATCTAATTCTCCCTACACACTCATCCCCTATATAGGAAAAATACTAAACGCGACATTTTTAATTTATGGTTCCATACATGCAACAGAAAAAAAGTTACTATCAACATTATAGCAATATTAGCTGTCTAAAAGGTCCCATTCCCTTTATTTCTCCAAATCCTAGTCAACTTAAAATTAATATCTACTTAACTCATAAGCGTGCGTTCTTCCAATCCACTTCAACCATCCAATATTTTCTTTTAATGTCCATTAGAAAGTTTTGCAAAAAAAAAAAAAAAAAAGTTATGTCGTCACGTAAGTACTATCCAAAACTTTAGATTGATAAATAGCGATTCAGGAGTAATATTTGTATCATAATGAGTAAAAGATAATGATGACACGCGGTTCAATCAAGCTCATCTTTTTAATGTTGATAGATAAGTAACTCGTGCGTAGAGATAAGAACTGAATAGCAAGATGTCAACCTCAATCCTTAATGTAAAGCTTCATTAAACATTAACAAATTGATTCTAGTTGGATATGAAAAATTATCAACATGGATGTCGGTTGTAAAGGTCTTTATTGGAATGCTTATCATATATTGAAATCAAGAAACAATAAAATATGATTAGTTATGTAGTAATCTATATTTATTTTTTATCCTTGCTACTAGCAGAAAGAGCTTTGTTTAATGAGTAATCCAATCTTGGTTTAAACAAATAATTTAAATTATATATACTGACGAATAAAAATTTGTTTACTATAGTGTAATGAGCGCGTGGATTTTAACCGGAGTTACATAATATAAAGTTCTCTTAGCAAAAAAACGTAGTAGTACTTCTCTTGCCGCAGGGGCCAAATTCAAACATACAAAAGGAAACCAAACCAGTCCCCACCTCGTATATCTCTCAGTCTCAGTCCCTACAACTATATAAAGGCTAATTGCGTCGACCATGCAATTCAAAAACACAAAATACTTCCTTGAAACATATTCAGAAAATCTCGAATCAATATATAAATACTTTACACCATGAAGAAATCTTTCTTGTTTCTGATGATGTTCTTGGTGGTGGCTTTGGCTGGAAATTTCAACCAAGATTTTGATATTACATGGGGTGATGGCCGAGCTAAAATACTCGAAAACGGACAACTTCTCACCCTTTCCCTCGATAAAACCTCTGGCTCTGGTTTTCGGTCCAAAAATCAGTATTTGTTTGGAAAGATTGATTTGAAAATCAAACTTGTCCCTGGTAATTCTGCTGGCACCGTTACTACATATTATGTAAGTCCTTTTTTAACTATGGAGCAACTATTGTTAAATGGTTATGGTAAGTTTTTAGATGTTTTATTCATGTTGAGTTTTAATGGTGTGAATAAAATGCAGTTATCTTCAATAGGATCAAGTCATGACGAGATTGATTTTGAGTTTCTTGGGAATCTAAGTGGAGACCCCTATATTCTTCACACAAATGTATTCACACAAGGGAAGGGAAATAGAGAGCAACAGTTTTATCTTTGGTTCGACCCTACTAAGGACTTTCATACTTATTCTATTCTTTGGAATCCTCAGAGCATCATGTAAGCGTCTCTCTCACACACACGTACTCTGTTTATTATGTATTATACATGTATATGTTTTTGACATGTTTACTTAGTTGTGATATTTATTTAGTTACCTCTCGTATATTGTTAATAGTCAATGGACTTATGGTTATTAATAATCAAAGATTTCACGTAATTCTGAGTGATTAGACGTTCTTTCTTTCACCTAACAAAACTTACCTTTCTTGATTATTCAAAATTAAACAAAAAAATTATTTTGAATGATTTTTTGGATTTAACGGTACTGCATAAGTTAAACAATTTTTAACTTTTAAGTGATTTCAGAAGAATAAATCACATGAAATGAAATTGTTTCGAAAGACCTACAGTAAATACTTGGAATCAATACAGGCTTAGCTAAAGATAAGACACAATGGAAGAAAAAATTCATATAGGCGATAGTTGAGAATAGGTTTTAGATTTGGTAGAGAATTTATTATTATTCTTATTACACTACTACTAAACTTGCACTTTTAGTTTATTTTGGTAATGATATGCGATGCGAATTGAGCTAAAAGAAATGAGAACTCATATAGCTACTGAGGCATAATTGTTGTTAACGATTTCAGAATAAAGTACTCCCTCTGTCCAATTTGTGTCATAGTTCGGATTTTGAGAGTCAAACTTCTTAATTTTGATTTGTAATTCGAACATAGAATCTTTAAAAAAATTTAAATAAAATTTACATATTTAAAAATTACATAAAAAGTACTATAATCTAAAAGGCATATAGAAAAATCGGGTCAAAGAAAAAATTGTTTGACTCTCGAAATTCGAACATCAACACATAAATTCGGACAGAGGGAATATGAATTAGTGGAAAAGAAATATATGTGAGAAAATAATTATGTAAAGTACCATACTTATGACCTAACTAGAATCAGTTATCCCGTTTAACTTATGGTTAAGACATTTATCACTTTTTGTTTCATTTAATTTTCACAAATACCGTGTGACATTTAAAATTAAAAAAAGAAACTAAAAGTGTCCTTTAGGTCGGCAGCTGCATTATTATAAAAGAAATTACTTTAAGTGTTTTTTTTTTCTTCAATTTCTATCATACATGATGATTACTAATTACTATTCCTTTTCCTATTTTATTAAAATAAATCAGCTTTTCAGTAGATGGGACACCAATTAGGCAATTCAAGAATTTAGAAGCAAGTGGGATACCTTATCCAAAGAATCAACCAATGTGGATATACTCAAGCTTATGGAATGCAGATGATTGGGCAACAAGAGGAGGATTAGTTAAGACTGATTGGAGCAAAGCCCCATTTATAGCTTCCTACAGAAATTACAATGCCCAAGCTTGTGTATGGTCTTCAACTTCTTCTTCTTCCTGCAGCTCCAACAACTCAACAGAGAATTCTTGGCTAAGTGAATCCTTGGATAGCACAGGCCAATCTAGGATTAAATGGGTGCAAAGTAATTACATGATTTATAATTATTGCACCGATACTAAACGCTTCCCTCAAGGATTTCCTCCTGAATGTTCTCTCAATTAGTGCTAGTAAATTTATAAGTTATACTAAAATGTATTGTAAATTATTTGATTTGATATGAGGAATAAGAAAGAGAATTTCCATCTGTACTTGCTGTCTTTTTTTGTTTTTCAACAATTCCCACTTGTTTGGATTTATTAGATTGATTGATTCTGTTTGACATCTCAATATAAACATCCATACTGTGATAGGTTGATAGCAACTATCCATATTTGATATTAATGAAATAATGAAAACGTCACAGAAAAAGAAAGAGTAAGTAAGAAACAAGGTAGATATAGCAATTAACAAAACATAGTTCAATTAACAAATCAGCCCGGCCTTTTACTATTTACAGATCTATAGATCATGATATTTTTAGACTAGAGAATAAAGATGGAATTTTTACCTCCTATAGCAAAGGTTAACACCTTATTTATTTAAAATAAATATCATTTAAATAAATTATATTCTATAGATACCTTTTATGGTTTATAGCAAATTTTCTAATTTTGGTTATATCCTACACTTAAGCCAATTAATACGCTATGTTTTATTTTTCTCTCTCCATCCTCTGATTTTTCTCTCTCATAGTTACCGTTTTTCATACAACTTCTCAATACATGTTCAAAACCACGCTCAAAATCAGAGAAACCTCCTCACCCACACCGCTGCTTCCTCCTTCCCCCAATATCGGCGTAAACCCTAATCTCCTCTAGATTTTACTCATTTGTTTCTATAATTAGTGTGATAAGTATTTATTTTTTTTGATTTTCGCTATTTTTGCTTATTCTCAACATCTCTACTCACCAAATTTTCTCTCATCAACAGTATCCAAGTGTATTCTCACAAAGGCTGAGAATACACCCAGCAAGTTGATTACTAGATACACCCACTAAAATTCTCAATTTTGATGGGCCCTCTTTCTCCTTGCAAATCACTCAAGGGGAATTGGATGCAGGTATAGCCAAAAATATAACATTGGAGAAGAGAACAAAATCTCGACATGACAATTTCAAAGAAACCCAAGTCGAGAAATCATTGAAGGAAACAAGACTTCCCATTGCGGAAAAGAGGAAAAAACATATTTTTCCAGCTTCATCTGTCAAGGGGAAGGAGGTTGAAGCAAGTAAAAGCTCGGATACACTTGAAGAAAAGGTAAATTATGATGTATCCATCTGTATTATTGATGTATTCATCTGTATTTATATGTATACAACGGTTGAGTTCTCTGTTCAAAAAGGATATTCAATGTATTTTTGTACTTATAGAAATTAATGATATAGATATGTCTGTTGTNATAGGATTTTCAAAGTTCCCATCAGTGTTTTATTCTAATTGTAATGTCTTTATTTGTTGTATGCGTATGTATTATATAAGTACATATATTTCTATCACTGATATCTTACTCCAATTGATTTTTGCAGACTGTATTTAGTTGTATTCATATGTATTCATGTCAGTTTTACTATGAAATATGTGTTGTATGCAGTTGAATTTAGTTGTATTCATATTATTCATGTCGGTTGTATTATAAAATATGTGTTGTATTCAGTTGTATTCATGTCAGTTGTATTATGACATATGTGTTGTATTCAGTTTTACTATGAAATATGTGTTGTATGCAGTTGAATTTAGTTGTATTCATATGTATTCATGTCAGTTGTATTATGAAATATGTGTTGCATTCAAGTCAGTTGTATTATGACATATGTGTTGTATTCAGTTTACTATGAAAATATGTGTTGTATTCAGTTGAATTTAGTTGTATTCATATGTATTCATGTCAGTTGTATTATGAAATATGTGTTGTATTCAGTTGTATTTATATGTATTTATACTTGTTAAAATGCAGGGAATTAAGCTATTTGTGAAAAAACAGCCTATATTTGCACCGCATATCAGTGTATATACTAACACTGACATAGTCTCTGAGCTAAAAGAAAATCTTACTCCAGAGCAGTACAACCAACTGGGTAATACTTGTTTTGGAAATTTCCTTCAAATGAAGCGTTGTGAAGTCCAACATCAACTCTTCAGATGCTTCATGGCTCTCCAGTTAAAAGGAACTCCTGATAATGTATTTGCTATACACGTCAATGGTACTTCATTATCTTTCTCAATAAGGGAGTTTGCGCTTGTGACTGGCCTCAAGTGTGTTGGTAACCCTGCTGATTTTGAGTTCAATGAAAAGGTTCCTAACCGGATTATTGAGACTTACTTTGGAGGTGCCAATCTTGTCAAAAAGAAAGATTTGATGAAATGCTTTGCTGACAAGAATTGGGGTCACGACAACGATGGGGATGCCTTAAAGATAGCTGTGTTGTATTTAATACACACTTTTATTTTTTTCATCCGAGAAGAACAGCACAACCATCCCAAGGCTACATTTTGACTTGGTCGAGAGTGGGCGCTATTCTGAATATCCATGGGGTATAAAAGCATTTGAAAGCCTAACAAAATCTATTAGCAAGAAGATGGATGCTCAGAAGAAGTACTACAGGATAGCTGGTATGCCTCTAGCTATGCAAGTGTGGTTTTATGAGTGCTGTTCAAATGTTGATCCCAAAATTGCACTCCGAGTTGATAACGTGGTCCCCATAATACTCAATTGGAGATCCACTGGAAATCAGCCAAACTTTGCATATATGATGAACGACATGTTCAATGACAAGGGAAACATGGTAATTTACAATTTGTATCCTGGATAGTTTACAGTTTACTAATATTTAATGCTGCATACATTTGCATACAGTTATTGCTGCATACAGCTGAATACAGTTGCTGCTTCCTTCATTAGTACTGCTGCATATTTGGTTAATTGAAACTTCAATGCAGTTGGTGCTGGCTTCATTAATACAGTTGAATACAGTTGCATATAATTTACAAATCATTACTGCTGCCTTCATTTGAATACAAATTACATTTTGATTCCAGATTTGCATACATCCATTGTAGTGAGACTTTGATTGTATTTCGTTTTTCAGATTGTTTACAAGGACATCTATCCAACCGATATAGAGCTTGCCATTATTCAGATTCCTCCAGTAGGCGTTGCTGTTGAGAACAATCCTACTTCTACTCATTCAGACAAGTCGACAGAGGATTCGGATGACTTTTCTCCTACACCTGATCTCCAGTGTATGAAGAAACATGCTGCAAGTGTTGGTCCATCTTCATCACCGCCCCATAAAAAGCGCAAGGAACAGAATATTCATTTCTCAAATACAGCTCCAGTTGGTGTATCTGAAATTGCACAAAATGTTTTGCATCACAATCAACTGGCAGATTCCAAAAATGATGAAGTATCTTCTTTGAGGAAAGACCTAAATTCATTCAAGGAATACGTGAGTTTTTTTATCACATTAAACATTACAGTTTAGTGCTTAACATTCGTATGTGTACAAATGCACTTTTCTAATTATTTCTGTCTTGCTAAGGTTGTGGGCGAGTTCAAGTCTCTGAGATCATTGATCAATGATACCTTTAAGATGCTTGCTGACCATCTTCAACACAATCAGCAAAAAGAAAGCTTATAACAATGAAAGGAAACCACAGGGAGACGTGATGATGGTATTGAAATGCCATATGAAGCCAACTTGCAAGATATTCCAAAGGTCACAGACAGACTGATACACTAGTCGGCGATAATGTTGAGGTTTAATATTTTTTAACCTCTTTAGTACATTTTTATATCTCCTGTTTGCTCTTGTTCAGATTAATCATATATAAAACAATTTTATAACATTGTGAAATAAAGTATATACAGAATAATTCAGTATTTTTAATTATCTTAATCCTATATGCATTTGTATTTTTTTGACTTTATTTCTACATAATTATTGTGCTCTTCGCATGTTGTACATACATAACTATATGCATCTGTATTTCTGATGTAATGTATTTATATATATTACAACATGATACTTGTATTCATTTAAGCTTCCTCTATATAGTAATATTATAACTTCCAGTTAGACGCATTTACATTCTGCCCAGAATATATAATGTAGTTATATGTATTCAGATATATTCTTAAGGGGATTTATTGAACATACTTCTAACATGTATTCAGATGTATTCTTATGACATGTATTCAGATGTATTCATTGAACATACTTCTAACAATGATGCATACGTCTAACAGAATGCAGTGGTTAATGCTCTTTGTGTGGAGTCAAGAGTGGAGGGGAATACTACATCAGAGGTGCCATGTAACATACCACATATAGGCCAAGAGGGTTTATCTACAGATTACTATGTATCTCAATTTGAGCTGGACGACAAGTTTCTTTCCAGTCAAATTCCAGAAACTAGAATTGTGATACACAACAGTGCAAAAAATTTGCATCAACAGTACCATTTCATAGGAATCGACGACCAAGTAAATGGTACTCTTCGCCTTACGAGTCTAACTTTGACTCCGCAAGTTAGTGTTTCATAAACTAATTATCTATTTCCCCATGGTTTTTATAATTAAAACTCTCTATACATGAATTCAATGAACAACACGTACCTCAGTAAAGTTGACCCCCATTTTTGAAAAAAGACACCCATTTGAGGATGATTCAATAACGGGGCCGCACCCTACATTAATCATTCAGGAATACGACAAATGGGTTCGTGATGGTCTTCTTGCTAGACATGAGCAGAAGTGAGTTTTTTTTCGGGATTTCTATTACGTATTTATATTTTTGAAAATGGATATAACGTTTTTTTATATCGTACTTGCAGAAGTAATTTGGAAGATCATTACAAGAAGAACAAGTCAACACTTCATATACCATTGGATTTTGGAGTTGATCAAGTCAATTCAAAATTTTGATTTTACCTTCTATCGTTTGACGGTAAACTATGGGATAACAATGTATGTTTTACCCCTTCCAACTACACTATAAATCATTTCTTTAGTATTGGTTTGTCTAATTGTATAATTCACAAATTGAGCTCTAACCCAAATTTGTCTTACATTACTTTGATGTACTTAATTGTATGCAGATGTTACTAATAAATCTGCTATATTTAATTGTATTCAGATGTATTTTAACAATTTTTATTAGTTGTAAATGAAATATGTTTTTAACTGAATCTGTATGATGTATTTGATGGC